ACTTGATCCTGTACAAAAAAGTTTTCATCCTCTTGCTGGGGATCTTGGCGAATATATAGAACTAAGGTATGGCAAAAAAGTTCGCGACAATTTTCATATCGATATAAATAGAAAAATTTCAGAGAACTTTTTTCAACCAATTATACCACAAGATGCAACGTGAAAAGCTCTACAATATCCACAAGACTGCTTATTTTATAGTTGTGGTTTTTGTTTTTAAAATAGACAAAATTTTGAGTGACCGAATTTCGACCATATGAAAACGATATTTTTTAGGTACAAGATGAATTCGCTCTTTCTTATTCCATCTTTTTATCATTGTTCTTTGTAAATTGTTGAGATTTTCACGCTGCATCTTGTGGTATATTTTATTTATCTTTTAATAAAGGGTATCAGGCGCTAAATAAGAAAAAATGCATTTCTCGTGTGCCAAAAAAAAGATTCTTTCACAACATCGAAACTTAGACGCTCAAAATTGTGTCTATTTTGAAAACAAAAACCACAACTATGAAATAAGCGATCTTATGAATATTGTAGAGCTTTTCACGCTGCATCTTGTGGTATAATTTGTTGAGAAAAGTTCTCTGAAATTTTTCTATTTATATCGATATAAAAATTGTCGCGAACTTTTTTGCCATACCATAGCCGATCAGGGAAAATTCTATGCATCAAAATCATTCCATGATCCAATTTACGATCGACAAGTGATCGTAGGTTGGTATAGGTAAAGATGATGATCAAAGTGAAAAATGAGGTTGGCAAGGCATGTATTCTCTGCCACGATCTATCTTTCTTTCGGACGACGGATTGCAGCTTCGATCACGTCCAATAAAAGCGTTGTAAAGTCTACGTATTGAAGAAAGTCATCGATATTTTCCTAATATCGTTTTATCATCAATAATACCATTCGAACTGATTCCTGATGTCAATGGAAATCAAATCGAAGTGATGATCAATTGGCAACTTCCAAGAGATCAAGTAAATATCTGCCTAGACTTTTCTGATCGATTTCTTTATGGATTTTTTTTCATAGGATTTAGATTTTGGTTTGAGTATCCTTTCGACGTTGGGCGGTAGCCAACGAACAAGCGTTGGTACAATGACGAGAGCCAACACAACCTTCATGCTTAATTGGGATGTGTATGGATGGGACTATTTCAGTGAACCAGATATTAGGAATTCGTTTGATTGTTAATACAGTTGCGACCAGGATGCTAAATATCGCACGTGTTCCACTGGCTGGCTGGTACGATCTTGCTAGAGTCTGAGTCATTAAACAATCAGTGGTTTCTGACACTGAATATTTTCATTGATCATTCAGTAATCGAAGTCTTTGAACCACAAGGTAGCCGTGTAGCAATCACGACACGTGTCTACCCAGAAGAAGATACGGCCGAACATTTGGTAATTTATGTCAACAATAGATCGACCATGAATCAGAAAATTATAATTGATACATTTGACATTTGGACTCTGAACAGCATCTGGGCGTGGCAGCAAGCAGACGGTACAATAGTTAGCAATTGAGTGAACGTGCAGAGTTTGTATGCAGCTCTTTCGAAAAAAGCAATAGAAGATCTTCGTGATAAGATTTTGAAAATTTGAAACACAGACTGGTAATCATTGGTTTTGCTAGATTTGTTATGACTGAAGTAATTCCTCCGATAGACGTCTGATATGCATATCTTTCGACGAAAAATGACAAGCAATACATCAAATGTTGCTCACTCATTCGTCGAGTTTATGTTCACACGTCGTATGTAAAAAGTCATAATCAGTAACGACAATAGTCACAGTCTGAAGACAATGCCAGGCAATTACTTCCTACAGTATTTCAAATGTTGTCTCCAACAAAAGTGGGCCTGTGAGTCTCAGCGTGGGTTTTAGGCAAGAGAAAACTGACACTCATACATCCACATCCATGCTTCTGTTGTCATGCTTAAAAACATAAATATCGATAACAAGAAGTGAAGAGTGTGAGTGAGTGTGGCTATCATGTACAGCTATTCTGGCATACATATCAACATTCATTCACATCTGCATCTTCTTTATATGAGTACATCTATCTGTGAGAAAAATCTCAGCCCGTTTGAACTTGTATAAGTTGACACAGTGATTTTTCCCTGATAAGATGATTCTTATAGCTGTAATAGTAAAAATGTTCGGCCTCCTTAAGAACAAGCCATAAGTACGAACTCTTTTTATGTTAAACATAGTTCGTTAATATTAAAAAAATTCACTAATTCCTTGTGCTAAAGCGCTTCGGCACTTTGGAATATCCTCTTGTAAGATTTTAATCGATTATTTTATATGAATTAGCAAAGTTTCCTTTTTGACATTGTGTTATGACTTATTTTGTTTGGAGGGAATTTTATTAGCGGGAAGCTCAGTCTGCCGCCCACACATCCTCACGATATATAACTATATTTACGAGTATAACTGTTGTAAATGTACAGCGATAACAGTTGATTTGTGTTTAGTAAAAATAACAGAACGAGATACTGTTCTGAAGGATATAAAATGTTTTACAAGGAATGCAGGCATGCAGTCAAATACAATGAAGCAAAGCAAGATTATTGTAATCAACAGAACAGCCTTCTCTCGCTGCCATCGTTACGAGACTGGAGAAGAGAACAGAACGAATGCCAACACTTACATCTGTAATTATACAAACGCCAACACACACACTTTTAACCATACGAACGCCAACATACACACATTTGTAGTCATACGAACGCACATGTGCAACGTTTGTTGATATCAACATGACGCATAATACACATATGCAACTCTATTTTCACGAATCTGACAAATTTCCATATCGACCTATTTCGCCTATATGGATGATAATCTATGTTTTACCATCGTTTTGTTTCTTTATCATCGTTAATCGACGTGTGGCAACACCAAACAAGGATTATTCTGGTGGAAAATCAACTTGGCCTCAACGAAATACATTTATAAGTTTTATTCATTCTTGTCTCTCTTCAATATTCGTAGTGATTGCTATCATACGAGCACCAGAAATGCTCGACGATCCTTTATCACACA